CTTTTTATCTTGTTAGGACTTTGAGCAAATTTTAGGTGATGCATTTTGTATTTCATACACATTTGAGTTGTCTTCAGTGGGAAGATTGCTTCAAATTAGCTCATCATCATTACTGGCAGCCAAAACTCTAAAGACATCATTTTTATTTAAAAAATGTTATTTATTTATCATTTCTATACTTATTCACTCTCAAAAATTGATGCAGGTTCTATGCTCAAAAAGTGATGATGCAAATTCAAAATAGCCAATGTAGACAATGGTGGAATTTAATTCTAATTTGAATTTTTAAAAATTATTTTTGTTGTATTGAGGTATACTTTACAAACAATAGAGTACACAAATCTTAAATGCATAGATCAGTGAATTTTTACATATGGGGATACCCATGAACTCATCTTTCCAATCAAGGTATTGAATATTTCCAGCACCCTAGAATGGCTCATTTTCTTCCTCCTAGTCAGTACCACTCTCCTCCTACTATGGTAAGCATCATTCTTCTACCGCAGTAGATTAGTTTTGCCTCTTCTAGAAGATGATATCAGTGGAGTCATACTTTTACATATGCAGTTGCTCACCATTATTCATTTAAGTTATTGTAAATAGCAAAAGTTCGTTCTTTTGCATTTTTCTGTCCTATTCTATGCTGAAACTGGACATTTGCATTACTTTCAGTTTGGGACTATTATGAATAACACTACCATGAATATTCTTAAACATACATTTTGGTAGGAATTAGTACTCATTAGTCTTATCACTTCCTTGATAATAATATATTATATATATCAAATATCTTTTCAAATCTTTTGCTGGTTTTAAAAACCAAGTTTGTCTCTCTTATTGACTAATGCTATTTTTAATGTATTTTGGACTCAACTCTTTTCTCATATGTATTGTGTCTGTAGTTTGCTTTTTCACTATCTACATGTCTTTTGATGAATAGAAATTATTAACTTCCATAAAGTCTGATTTTTCAATCATTTCTTCTATGGTTAATATTTTCAATGTCCTTCTAGCTTGGATTCGGATTAGAGTATTATCCCTGCCCTAATTGTGGCTATCACTATTATACTTAATACATAGTATATTGGCCACAGAAAATGAGAGGGAACATTTACTTCTTAGTTCTTGAGTCCACACCAATAATTAATGTCATTTCTCCTTTCTCCTCCAGCTCTTGGCTTGGATATACAGATTAATGTTCAGGTTTTTAATACAAAAGAGATCATGGTGGAGTGTAACTCACAAGGGTGGTTCCCACAAGCCCAGATGAAGTGGAGAGACAGCAGAGGGAATGTAATTCCACCCTTATCAAAAATCTTCTCTCAGGATGAAGCTGGATTATTGCACCTAAAGACGAGCGTTCTCCTCAAAAACAACACCCACGGTCCTGTCACTTGTGGCTTTTATAATCCAGTTACTGGTCAAGAGAAAAGGGCAGGTATTGTCCTACCAGGTGAGTGCTCGTGATTTGGTTCTATCAAGAAAGAACTCTTTTCATGAGCGTGACAAACTAAAGATAAACCTAAGTGAAATCACAAATGTGAAATTGCTTTATAAAGTATAAACTGCTATGGACATGTAATATTTAAACCTTATTAAGTGGCTGGTAATAAGGCAGACACCAGATGTTAAGGGGATAATTTTTTTAAATGGAGGATTAAAATAATTAGAGAAAGAACTCTTATTCTGTTTAGCATATTAGATTTCAAAATTACATGTCATTTGAGAGCTAGATCCACTATTTTTAGCTCTGTGAACTTGGATGTCACTTAATCTTCAAGGCCATTGATTTCTCTCATTTGGAAATGGTAACATAGATGGCATTTCGAATTCGAAATAAAATATTGCAAGTGAAATAGCATTAAAGACATAGAGCAATGTGCAGAATTAAGATTGATTAAAAAAATTATGGATGTCACAAACGGACTTCATTACTACCCTATGAAGAAATAGATATGTAGAAAAGTCAGTTACTAAACATCCAGCAACAAATAAGTGATATATTCAGGATTAGATCTCAGCTCCTCACCCATTATCCAAGGCTATTTTTCTCTGACAAGGGGTGATTGTGATCAGAGCAAGTATTTCCTGGAGCCAGTAATCAAATTACTACGGTTTGCTTTTAGTTGTTTAGAATAGGGACAGGAAAGTATGCCTAGCACCAATATTGTTTACCACAAGAAGAGGATATTGATTGGTCCTAGTATTGCTTAATATAGGGACAGGGACTTATTTTGATTTCACTTCTCTACAGTGACTATTGCTGAAAAACAGGAGAGGACATTCCCTAATGGACATCATCAGCATCTACCAGATGGTCTTTGGATGTGATCTCAGATAAATTTTAGCTTTATTGTTAGAGTACTCCTGAACAGAAAATGATGACTGTTTAACTAGATCCAGATCACAAAGTCTTAGTATCACAGAATTATAAAAAATATCCTTTCTCCTCGGAGTCATGGAAGAATAATTAGGAAGCTGATAAATAAATCTCAGAGGCCTTTTTCTCCTGTTCATCAAAACCGCACTTCAGATGCTTAGGTCTCTTTGTAATCCAAAACTAGTCCCTTAGTCAACTCACAATTTCAATCTTCTGTTTCACTTCACACGAGTCTTATTTTTGGTTTCCCTTTCAATCCTACATTTCTATTCTGAGTAATTCAGGATTCTTGGACTGGCCAACCTAATCAATGATTTTGAAGCTAAAGTGTAAATGTAGAAACTTGGATCCCATGCCCTTTTCTTGTTGATCTTTTAAAATTTGAATGAAAGCCTTTCATAAAATGAGAAAGCAAATCCAGTCCTGGTGAGAGCCAAGTAAGGTAGAAGCCTTGACAACAGAGCTGTTATTTTTACACGTTATTTTTTTTGTTGTTCCTAGAGTCCATGTGTCCCTCCAATTCTAATAGTTTGGTGCTAATCTACTGGGTTAGCCGGCTTTATTTTAAACCATTTATTAATTTAATACATTAAAGTATGTATTTTGTGTTCTGCACATGAAAGTCACAATATGAGGAGGTATTGCCCGTACTATTCTGTGGTTGTTTGTTTGACTTTCTCCAAGTTCACTTTCTCCATTCCTTTGAAAACAACGCTTGTCTCTTCACAATATTTTATACACAAGGCTTCTTAAACTCCACTTTCTTGGTCAGTGGTTGGTGGTAATGACAGGGCAAATGCTGGTATTCTACTTTCCTTATTTTCTGAACTTTGAGGAGTTTGAGGAGTTCCTTGCTTTATCACCACTCATAAATTTGTCACTTTTTATTTAAATATTTTGATTGGCATATTGAAAGTTCTCCCTTGGGAGACGTTTTCTGTCATATTGGCCCTAGCCCACAGGGAATTTAAACACTAAATGTTAGAAGACTTTTGCAGTTTTCTTTCTCGAATTTCAGTGTTCATACATTTTCTTTAAACTTCCTAAAATTTCACCAGGGGCACTTCTGATCCAGTTCTGCAACCATTGGCTTCCTCAAATCCTACATATATTATGGTACACAAATCTTAGAGATTTGTTCCTTGGAATGTAAGAAAAGAAATAGAAAGATATTCCTCCATTTAACTGTTTCATCCTTGGCCCAATAACTCCCAAATCCTGGTCTTTCCCCTAGTCCAGTTTCATTGGCCAGTAGCCCTCATCTAAGCCCAGGGTACATAGTATAGCATGTGATGGGCCCATATATTGGGATCCTGCTGCCTTAGCAGCAATATTCTGTGCCCATTGGAGTCTTGTAATCCTACTGCTCTACTTACCAAGTATTTCTGCTCTCTTTTTCAGATATCCTGTTCCAATCGCAGAATATGATCTTTTCTGGCACTGTTTTCCTCCTGGCATATTTGAGCATTATAATTGCTCTTCTGTATTTCAGAATGAAATACATTCCATTCAAACAAGGTAAAGAGCTCTGAAGCCATCCCTTCTTTACCTGATATTAAGTGCTTAGGGAAGGTTCATATGAAACTGTGTAAAACTGCATCTCAGAGCATTCCATTGCTATGCTTGTCAAAGAAGGTCTTAATGTTGAGTTATGCCTAGGGTTAGGCCGCTGTCCTCTCTCCTGTGTGGTCCTCCAGGGCTCAGGCACTGCTACTGTCTATTACCACCAAGATCTCCTGATCCTTTCAGAGCCATCATTATTTGTTTCCCATCACTTGGAATCTCAATAATAGTAATTCTGTCCTCTTCCACAGGCAGCCATGGATATTTAAACTTATTACTCAAGTTGGCCAGAATATTTTACCTTGATAACAAGAGAAAAAGAGAAACATATGAACCAATAACCAGATTCTTAGTCCTCCTGCATCTCCTCTCAACTCTCCTTTTGCTCTTTCTATGAAGTTAACTTGAATATCCACTTTTTCTGGTCCATTAGAAGTAGAAAATTGAGTCTTAATTTCAAGGAACTGAGAACAGAGGGCAGAGAAGGCATCAGATACATTTGAGAATGACTCCTTTTAGTAATTGACCTTATGAACTTTAGAACATGCAAGATGAGTAACAGAAGTGACAAGTTATGACATCAAATACTTTAGATTTCCTAAGAGAAATGAACTGTCATATATTCTAGGCTCTTCTGGATGGAGGAAGAGATGAACTGGGAGATTTGGGGGAATTATTTAATCTATAGTGACATATACACAATTCACAAGACAAATTGCCTTTTGAGAGCTATAATAAAAACGAGATTTATCTATAATTCATGAAACATAAAGCTAAAAAAAGAACAGAAAATTCAACTTGCTCAGCTCTCTACTCAATTCGTAAAGACCTCTATAACTTTGAATGAATATTTGTCATGTTCCAGCAGAAGTGATAAACAATTTATAGTGAATATCTTACTAACTTATCCAAACTATCCAGTGTGGTAGGTTGTAATTATTATCATCATTTTTTAGATGAAGTTAAGGATCAGCGTTTTTAAGTGAGTTGCTCAAGCTCAAACAATATAGAGCCAGAATTGGAAACAAGATGTTTCAAATACCAAACACTTCGCTCCAGCTATCATGCTCTTTATGTTGTGTGGTACCAAGACCATTTTTGCATCCTTGCAGTGATGGGGAGGTCACTAACTTGTAAGACAACTTGACTTATTTATTCAACAAATGTATTTGAACATCTCCAAGTTATTAGGCACTGTTTTAGATATTGACAATACAGTAAGTGGTGGGATTGGGGGTGGGGGGCAAATATCTTTGCCCCCATAGACCCTACTTCTAGTGTAATGTGAGAAAATTCTTCCTTTTTGGAATTTTCTTGTTGATAATATTGGTATTTGTGACTTAAAAAACAAATAAACATATAGTATTTTTTTTCTGTCTGACTTATTTCACTTAGCATAACACCCTCTAGATCCATTCATTTAAAATCTAAAAAATAAAATAAATGAACAAGTAAAACAAAACAAATAAATTCATAGATACAGAGAATAAACTGATGCTTGCCAGGTGGAATGGGTTAGGAGGATGGGCAAAAAGGTGAAAGGGATCAAGAAGTACAAACTGTCAGTTATAAAAATAGTCACAAGGATGTAAATTACAGCATAGGGAATATAGTCAGTTATATTGTAATAACTATGTACAGTGCCAGATGAGTACTAGACTTATCATGGCGATCACCTGGTAATATAAATGTCTAATTACTATATTGTACACCTGAAACTAATATAATATTGTATGTCAACTATAACTTAAAAAGAAAAACAAATAAACAAAACAAACAAAAACCAAAATCATATTTCTTCTGGAATTTTCTCCACTCTAGGCCAAGTAAGTATTTACAGTTATTTTTCCTTGCATGATATGTCTCAGAATTATCCAACGATCTCGTCATTTTTCTCTAGAAAGGAGATGAATCAGTCAATGATTTTTTAACTTTAGTTTTATATAGGAATTCAGAGTTTAATAAGAAGAGTTGTCCAACCTTGAAATGATCTTTTTCACACTGCAGTAAGCTCCATATAAAATAACTATTCAAGCCAAGACTAAATGAGTGAATAGCAGGGACGCTGTAGAGAAGAGCCTTGCATTGTACCTTAAGGCCCTGACATTTGTAAAGTTCTTGGCTTCCAAGGCACTTTTGTTCTCTTAGCTAACTCAGAGTTTCCAAAAACTACAACTTTGTCGGTCCTATAAAATTTGGACCCTTAAGCATTCACAAGGTTATAGTGACCAGAGCCCTATTCTTTCTAGATCTTATTTCCAAGCTGATCATATGCTACACTGTATGGGGAAAAGTAGGAGGAGATCGTTCTTTCTAACGGCTCTATCCTTAGCATAAATGACTGTGAGCCCTGACTTTTGGCTTTATCTTCACTCACAGTCCTGCCTTTCATATCTGAGCTCTTTCTGACATAGGTTGAATAGCTCTGAGTAGACACAACAATGAGACCTTAAAAAAAGTTTAATGTACTCAGCATGTTTGTTGTTATTCCAATGTATTTGTAAAGTTCTACCTTCCTAACTCT